TGGCGCATAGAGTCTGCATAGAGCTTGTCCTTGAACAAGTGCTCTGGCATCTGGATCCACAGGTTGCTGACACTATATCAAAATCCAGGGACAGTCTCATGGAATTTGGGATAGTTGGGGGGGTGTATGTCAATGGAGAAGAGGAGACTGTGGAAAAGCTTCCTCCTGCCTGCAGCAGGCTGATTACATCTATCCCAGATTGCACATCCCAACCTGGCCACAATCACTTGACTGGAACAGCTTCTTAATGATAAAGGGAACAGTATTTTAATAGATGCAACAGGAATCTATTCAAGCACATGTAAAGCTTTCGATCCATCCACCTTAAGCTTAAAGTCTGGTTCTGATGTAAAGGCTTTCCTTTGATGTCTTTGTATTTGGTATATACTGTATAGTTATATGTATTCTGATATCTGAGCTGTAGGAAGTGATTAATGCATGATTCGTGATGTATTTTAATTTCTGTATATTGAGGGTAAAAATTAGGTAATTACTGATATCTGTGCAGTAGAAAGTGGTGAGAGACATGTGTCCCAGAGGCAAATAGTTTGGGTTGGTTTCCAAAAACAAGTTGCAACAAAGTTTTTTTTTAAATGTCACACTAAGCATTCCACACAGATGAAAGATTTCCACAACATACTGCAGAACTTCTACATAGTATATTGTGCATTAGTACAGCAACAATTTGGTGACACACAATTGGACTTCATGGGGACATCATGTACACGGGGAGGCTTTCTTTGACCTCCACTCATTTCAGTTTACAGTTTAAAATAGCAAACTGGAATTATTAGTGGAACAGATTTCTTTCAGTACTGGTAATACTGGTTATATCTTAGGCCCCATACACTATCATGTCTGGGCCAATACCTCTTCTAGTGACCCCTGCAGTTCTTCCGTAGATAGTTTAATGTTCGGCTTAAAGTGTAAACCCAAACAATAAACCTTCTTCTATTTGCTCCTTTTTGGTCTATTAAGTATACCATTAAAAGAGTTTTGTTATATCTGTGCTATAAGTACAAAAAATCTGATCCTGACAGAAATTCAGTGATATCCTGTGTCCTGTGCACTTTGCTATGTTAAAAAATGTATGTAAAAAGAGGCAGGTAACTCTGTAAACTGCAGAACCCCTCTCCCCATGTTACAGAAATGAGAGGGGGGGAGCCTAACATACTTCCTGTCCTGGGGTGATAATACTGCTCATCCATAGATACAGTAATATGAGGGAGCAATGCCATCCTAGTACAGGAAGTGTGTTACTGGCAGGTGAAAGAAAACCTAAACAAAGAAAACTAATGCAGCCACCACACCTAAGGACTGTTAAGCTGCAATATGTTACATTTTTGTTTTTGGGTTTAGATACACTTTGGAGAAAGGAACTGTCTATATAAGTTACATGGCATGCCTGCTGTAAGAAATAGCTGGACTTTCCTATACCATTGTCAATCTGTTTATCAGTGGTACATCAAGATGTGTTGTCAATGAAAAATACTTGAACTATATATTACCTCACAACAAAGTAAAAAATAGCACACTTTATACATTATGAGGAGTTGCAGAGACTTCTCTCACTAATACAGACCAAATACATAACTCTATATGCCGCCTGAGGCAATAAAGTAGTAGGGGTTGGGGGGCTGCGGGTACTGCTAATAGTGCTGGGGGAGGGAAATGGTGGTGGGTGCTGCTGTTGTGGTGGGACAGGCTGCTATGTTAGTCCAATGCTGTTAGTTGCTCTCTGTTTGGCTTCCCTCCCAGCTCACTGACATCACTGATTACCAGGAGCTTGGCGGGACGCCGACAAGAGTGTCTTGCTCAGCTACCTGGCAACTGATGACATTAGTGAGCTGGGCAGGAAGCCGGACAGAGCACCAAAGGTTGTAAAGAGCTCTTAGCAACCTGAGACGCTGTGCCTGCCCCTAGGCCCCCCACCACACCTGCTGCCCCCCTAATGAGTTGCCCCCTGAGGTGAATGCCTCATCATAGGGATGGCCCTGCTCAGCATGGATGCCGGTTAATGCCTGCTGCTTTTCTATTCACTGCAGCAATGGAAGTGTCATCATGAACTGATTTTCAATCCAAAGCAACTTATGGTTAGCATTTTTTTGTTTTATTATATTGTGTCAGTCATTCTGTTTATTGTGTTTTTAACAAGGAAGAGATGTTATAAAATCCTGGTTTATAGTTTATACAGAGGAGTTCAGGTACAACCACACCTATAAAACCATAGAAACCACAATGCAGTTTTGTATCGATTCATTATATACATGAGGCAAGCCAGTTGGTTGCTTATTAAGCCAAGTACGTGTAGGGTCATTTGAAATCTGTTAACAATATCTAACTCATCCTTTACACAGATTCCAGCTGTATGTTTTGGATTGGGAAAGGAATTTTGTCTCCTTTATTATTGCCATCAGTCTAATTTATTACCTGATGTGATTTTGTAGACCGGCTTTGCTCACCAAGGGTTCCTCCTGAAGTTGCTAGACGTTTCTTGAGCTGTGGGCAATGGCCAATTGATCTTCTACCTGCACCGACCACCACTGCACTTTTACACTGACCACTTTTTTTTGTGGACACCACAATTTCTTCTGTCTGTATTTCTTTTCTGTTATTATTCATTTTATTTTATGATTATTGCTAAAAATGTTGCTGCTCAGAGCAGAAGGGTGTAAAGATGACCTACCCAGGGTGTCAGTTATGCTTGGCATGCCATGTTATTTTTTCTTATAGTTAGAACCTCGTGCAATTTAGTGATCACAAAAATGTTCTGCAAACCATAGGTATAATTTTTTTTTAGCAGAGGTTCCCCAAGACCTGAAGAACATGTCAAGGACTTCTACTGGGTAAAACTATTGAGAAAGGTTGGTGTAGACATTGGTTAAGACATGACAATTTTACCATTGACTCTAGGACATTACTGTAGGTAAACCTGGGGAACCTCAATACACAATTACGTGGCAGCTCATCATGGTTAACAGCGAGGCCATTGGAAGAAACGATGTGGAGTAATGAATAACAAGCAATCATCTTTATTTAGTTCATTTATACCATTTAAGGGGAGCTCTGGGCTCCAGCACAATTGATCAGTGAAGGAATGCTACCTAAGAAATCTTGCCACTGTATTTAACTCAGAAAGTAATTCCCAATTACCTTTCATAATGTCATGTTAGAGCAGACAGTATTTGATCTCTGTCACCTGTTATAAGTTTGTATTCTGTGCAGGATATAAGGAGGTGTACATCACTTGCGCCTTTTGACTGACAGGAGAGGAGACCACCAGGAGAAGGAAGAGTCCAGTAGGACTGAGATAGAAGAACAGTGTGGGGGGCATCATGAACAGGAAGATGAAAGATGACTTCATATGTGTAATGACATGGCAGCCCTCCAGGAGCAGCACTAGTGGCTATAATTTGGACATTTTATTATGGAGGAGGGATGGTGTTCCCAACTATCACACTGATGGCAACTGATATTTGTGGTAGAGGGTGGCCTGTTGCACTATAACATAGCCTAAATGAAATATGGAAGCCCTGGTCAGATAGGTTGTCTCTTATATTTTGCATGGTGCCATTGTCTGGCCTAAATTCTGTGGAACTGGTTGCAATAGGTTACTGCACATCCCAACTGTTTGTCCTAAAGGAAAGTTGAACTGTTTGTGTTGCCCATACTAGCCAATCAGATTATCCAATTAAAGTTTAAAAATGAGATTCTGTTGGCTTGTGGGTTACAAATGCAGATACTTTTATATAAGACCATTTGTTACTGTGTCAGAATATTATTTTTTTTGCATGCATGTGACATTGGCACAGTCTGCACTATATCTCCCATCATACTTATTGACTTTGAGCTGCTAATGTATAACTACAATCAGGGCCGGATTTACTCTCTCTGCTCCCCCAAAGCCAGGTTCCTCAATGAGCCCCCCCCCCCCGCCCCAATGGAGAATTGTGCCCCCCCAATTTTTATTTTTATTATTTGTTTTAAT